ATCTGGAGGGCGGGTAAAAAATTCGGAAAATCTTATCTGCTGCGTGTAAAAGGGGAGAAAATAGGCAAAATAAGTAAAAATGAGAAAGGATTGGTAGCTATGTAATTAGAATTTTCTGTTTCTCTTTGAAAATAGGTGAATCTTCTGAAAAAGCGGAATACTTATTTTAAAAAAATGAAATTTTTAGAAAATCTGAATTTTTGATAAAAAAGCTGAAATTTAAGAGATAAAAGTGAAAAAAGCAGAAATCCGCTAAAAAGCGGAAAAATCTCATCCCTGATTACAGGGATGGTTGCGACACAAAGTGAAAATTTTATACGCAAAAACTCAATAACAAGATATTAATTTATATACTATTCATATTTAATATAATTTTTTGAACTAACATTTATAATTAAATTACTTTTTAATCAAGACTATCACACCTTCATAGTAAATAATTCAAGAAAAAATCAACAAGAGTTGTTACAAGAATCGCGATATTGGATATTTAAATCGTGTGAATACGAATAGCGATGTTGGATTTTTAAATCACCCGAATACAAATTGTTATGTGCAATTTTAAACCTCATGAATAAGATTCATAATGTGTAGCTTTTAAATCAAGTAAATACGAAAATCAATGTTGATATTAAAATCATGAGAATATAAATCGCGCTATTAGCAGATTTCTACGTAGTTTCAAGTTTTAAAAAAATAAATCTAAACCCCTCCCGCAAAAAAAAATCTTTGGCAAAATCATGTGCATAATAACTTCCAATTAAGGAGATTCAGCGAAAATTTCAAAATTTAAATTTAAAATGCAGAACTTGTAATTCTTACTTTAAATCTTAACTCTTACTTCAAATTTTAGATTGCAGTAAAAATTTTGTCGGATTATAAGTTTTAATTTGTGAACGTCCACAAATCAATGGTCTTGAGATACACAGAATTCAATGAAAAAATCACATGCCCTGCTCCTAGTTTATAGAGCGGGAAGGATGATATAAAAAAACCCGGAATTCCGAGGTACATCTGGAATACAATCACCCCTGATAATATCTTTCTTATTTTCGGTAAATTCAAATGAAATTCTTTCAAATACCTTTGATGACATCTTCAATTTGCTTAGCTATTGAAGTATTCAAATCCTCAAGGATATCAAACACTGTTCGTTTTCGAGAGTTCTCTAGATTAGGATCAACGCCTAGGAAAAGTTAGAAATTATCAACAAAACATAAAATTAAACGAATTACACTAAAGCATTTAGAATAAGTTACATCATATGAAAATCATTGAATTTTCTTCAGGTGTGACAATTTTCTTACACTGTTTTGCACATGAATATAATTTTTATGCAAACTCAAAAGAAAACATTTGAAATGACATATTTTTTTATTCAGGCTATTAAATACAAGATTTGATATTTCAAAAACTGTTCTAAGATTAACTGTTAGGGGGCATTCAAATATTATAAGCATATTTTTGGCAGCAATATTGGCCTCCCTCTTCCTGCTTGTCAACAAAAAACAGCAAATCGCTAACCATTCAAATTCCCTCTTATGCTTATGTAATAAAGATACAGCAACCCTTTGGTTCTGCTTGAACTTACGACTATTAGTGACGTAATCAACATTTTATGATTAAATTTAAATAAAAGATGTTTTGTAAAATTTTGAGAAAAATATTCTTTGAGAATTTCTTGTGTTTTTCTTTAGTGTTCAAAACTCTTGAAATCTGAAACTGTTCAAAGATATTTTTTTCCAATATTTTCTTTTCCCTAAATTTACTTTTTATTCTAAATGTGAATTTTTTCCACATATAACATTTTTGGTTACACTTATCATTTTGCCTTTTAAGGAAATTTTTAAAATATGGGGATTTTAATGTTTTATGTAAACATTGGTCCTACCCATTCTCATCCCCTGTCAGCAGAAATAAGCATAACATAAAACTCCTTCTCTCCATTGGATGTTTTTGCAATATTTGAACTACTTCTTACGGGTTTTTATAATTCAAATTTGGAAGAAATTGTTAGAAATAATTATAAAATAAATACAGAATGCATCCTGGCAAATAATTGTATCTTTAACTAGAGTAGATCCTTGATCATAAACAGAACTACCCTTAACAGAGAATGCTAGAAAGGCAATAAATAAATATCCAAAAAAAAAAAAAGGTTATCTTTTTACTTAGTACTACTTTTTTAACTTGAAGACACGATGTTTCTTAAATTCTTTTGACATTTGTTTACTTTAAAATTTATACAGATCCCAGGTTAATCTAAGACCTGCAAACAGTGCCTGTGTGTGCCCATAAATTTAGATAGCTCTGATTGTGACAAAAAATTTAGTTTTTGTCTTAATAATTATCAACTGCAGAACAGCACGTGAAGTTGGTGGTAACTGATTCAATTCAGATGAAGATTTACTTCAAAAATGAGATAAAAGGCTTAATTTGACAGTAAATTTACTGTTATGTATTATGCTTGCTCAATATCTTAGAATGGATTGTTTCAAAAGCACTGCTGGGTTCTGAACCATAAATAGTATCACATATGTAAAACAATAAGTAGCAAAATTGCTTGCAAAAGTTAAAGGGAAATATATATTAATGATTGAGAATTCATCTTAATTGTGTATTTGATACTAACAAACTTTAAGTGTATGGTAGGTTATGTTAGGTACAAAGCTCTCTTTGTATTTTATTTAGTTGAGAATTATTAAATAAAAGTAATGAGACTTTTTTTCTCCTTTTTTTTTCTTTTTCAAACAAATTACAACTTTTTTTCTAACAATAAGCACAAATCTAATTTTAATACCTGTGTCCAAGTTTTTACGATAATTAAAAGGTTGCTTGATCAAAAAATAAATAAGAAATAAAATAATAAACATATGTATTTGCTAACATGGAAAAGGAAAATTCCAAAAATCTTTTTTGTTATAAATTATGAGATATTGAGACCCTCACAAATATTTGTAGACGCCTTCCAATTTTTAATAGTCATAGTTTAATTAATACAATTATGTTATGGATCAGATTACCAGATGAACTGTGATATTATCAGATGAACTGTGTTAAGTTGAGAATAGCTTATAAATATGGTTAGAAATATAACATACTAATTTATACATGTATTTCCCAAAAATACTTTCAAGAAATTCTTAGAAAAATATATACCATAATCTAAGAGCAACTTTACAACTTCTAGCTTTCCATACATAGCTGCCTCATGCAAAGCTGTTCCAATGTCTGTCTAAAAATTAAAACGCTTTCAAAACACATATTTCAATAATGAGTCAGTTAAGTAGCAAATGAAAATAGCTTTATGGCTTACAAAAGTGAACATTTTATTTAATCTGTATGATATTCAGTAACAAAAACTGATTTCTAACAACACTATTAAACACAGAAGAAATGCTTATAAAAGAAATGTATTTGTTTCTATCCTAAGATTTTACAGTTAAAGAGTCAAAATACAATTATGCGATTACTTTTATGATTTTGGTGAGGTAAATAAGGGTAAGTTTTTATATTGCACCCAAGTCTAAAAATAATAAATTGAAACACTTTAATACACTAAAAAAATATATACTTGATGTCTAACATTAAAAATTTTGTTTTGCAATTAAATTACAACACTAAGAAAATTTTCTCAGTATCCATAGAACAGAACTGCCTATAAATTATTTTCTGATCCAATAAAATATAGCAGATATTATCTGCATATTCTAAATTCCTGAATATGGATTCAAATTTAATGAAATTTATTAAAAGGTTTAAAAGGGAACTATTACTTTCTCTCTCACAGCACATTGTTAGAACAATTTAAACATGATTAGAAAATCAAGTGAAATTATGAAATCTACAGTACACTCAAGAGCAAAGATTAAAATTTTTACCATGTAATTAATATCAAATCCAGAATCTAATAGTGTTTTTACAACATGCTTATGGCCATTTTTAGCAGCCAAATGCAGTGGTGAATGGCAACGAACTATGTCAGATAATAAATTAGGATGGCAATTCAATAAGCATTCCACAATTTCCAAACGACCATATTGCGAAGCTAGATCCAGAGGAGATTCATTCCTTACATTTCTAACAGAAGGATAACATTTGTTCTGAAACAAAATTAGAACAAACTATTACATAAGATCACAAAAGCAGCAATTTTTTCACTTTGTAAAGAGAGAAAACTTTTTAAGGTTTTTGATTATAATTTTACTTCACATTTTTTCAGAACACATTACATGACGGTAATACTTAAGAAAATTATTTATAGCTAAATCATTATTTTGTAATTTTTTTTTTCAAAATGTTTTTATTAATTCTTTAATGGTGCACAAGATGGTGTGATCATATTGAGAAAAATAAGTCGATAACTATTGTTATTTTAGATGATATTTCTATTAATAAAGAATATTTAAAACATTGGGAGCCCAAGACCTAGAACTGTGAAGAATAGAGGGAATCCCGAGGCAAGATCAAGTCCTTGAAGAATTATTAGTTCAATGAGTAGAAGTAGTAATATTTAAAACAGCCTTGCTCTGGAGAATTTAAGCTCAGAGATGTTCAACTGAAAAAAGTTTCCTTCTCTGTTAAAAGAAGTCAACCTCTGCTAATGTAAGCTTAAATTTGTAAAATTTAAAAAAAAAATTGTAAAATTTAAAAAAATAAAAAGAAAACTATTGAAATTTTAGTTAAATTAAAAAATATTCAGGTATTTAGTTATTAACCGTTAATTAATAAAACGCGAGTATTTCACAACTATAGCAACTTATCCCTCTCTACTTATTCCTTGTTAATACATTAAAAACATTTATTTTTTTCATTTTGAAGTGAAGCTCTTTCAAGTGTAGCTCACTTTCATATTTCCATGACTTCCTTAAAAAAAATATTAAATATAAACTATAAATGTAGCCTTATAAAAAAGAGGAAAAAAAACATTTTTTTTAATAAAACTTTTTTTTTCATATTAAGATGCAGCGCTTTATATATATGAGGTGAATATACCAATTTCAGAAACACTAACAGTTGAATTAGGAAAGTGATCAAAATTTCAGTCTCTCAATTTCTCTTTTTTCATTTTGGACCATATCTGAGCAGTTTATTGTGCAAATGTAAGAAATTTCACACAATTATAAAATTCAATTGCAAAAATGCAATATTAAAAAATTTTTTTTTATGAAAGTGAAAAATGTTTTGTTTAATAAAAGTGAGGAAAATAAAATATTAAAAAACTCTGAATGCTTAAATGCTTAGTTAAAAAAAATATTAAGAAACATTTTCAAATTTTTAAAGCAATATGATTTAATAAAATAAAAGTCATACATTGAAACAACCAAATTTTGTCCAGTAAAAAAAGAATATAAAACTTTCTTCCGAGTATAAATTTGAAGTGAAAGAGTGGCAGTATACATCTTATAGAATTGTTATTGGCAGTATACATCTTATAGAAATGTTATTGGCAGTATACATCTTATAGAAATGTTATTGGCAGTATACATGTCCCAGGTAGCAAAGAGATATGATCTAATATCAGAAAGATGCAATATAATACTGCTGTGCTAGAAAACGCAATACTCTTGAATCCTATCTTCTAATAGTAACATACGAACTTTCAAAATAATCATCTATTTCATTACTTTTGGTACAGTGCCACATTTTTGTGAAAGGTTATCCCATATTATTAATAAAAAAACAATTATTTATGAAAGAAAACAATAAATGAAATATTAATAAAAATATAATTTTTAGCCAATGTAATTTTATGCGAAAAAGCACAAGGTAATATTAGCAGGGCAGAAGTAGGCTGAGTTAAGGTTGTTTACAGTCGCCGCCAATAAGCGAAAGCACAGAGCACGCCGCACTTTACTATACTCAATACTCAGTCGCCGCCATTATCATAGAGGGTCAGCGAGAATGAAATTTTTAACTTCAAAGGTATTTATGATTCATTAATTTTTAGTAAACTTTATAAATTTCAATGATAGATACATAAAACCTTAAAGTAGTATCATAAAAATAATAAATTAGTAGTAGTATAGGCTCGTATAACTTCTTCACGATTGTTCACAGTCGCCGATATTGTTTGTGGTAGTCAGTGAGAATGAAATTTTTAACTTCAAAAGTATTTATGATTGAGTATTTTTTAGTAAACTTTATAAATTTCAATGATAGATACATAAAACCTTAAAGTAGTATCATAAAAATAATAAATTAGTAGTAGTATAGGCTCGTATA